ATTGTTTGATATGGGTAATTAGGATTGGGTGGTTCTAGGTTAGAATGATCGTTAATTAGTAATGGGTGCATCTGATTTCAGTCGATTTGTGCATAGATTTGAGATTCGTGGGTCGGTTCTTCGTTCAACATTTTCGACCTGTATATGTCGATTTTCGATGAATTTTCGACAGGTTGATGTCGAAAATTCATCCAAAATCGACACGTAGATGTCGAAAATGGTGAAAGTGTTGAATTTGGATTTGGGTAATTTTCGACAGCTACCTGTCGAAAATTCAACCCATTTTCGACAAGTTGCTGTCGAAAATGCAACCCATTTTCGACAGGTAGCTGTCGAAAATTACCAAAATCCAAATTCAACACTTTCACCATTTTCGACATCTACATGTCGATTTTGGATGAATTTTCGACATCAACCTGTCGAAAATTCATCGAAAATCGACATATACAGGTCGAAAATGGTGAACGAAGAACCGACCCACGAATCTCAAATCAATGCTCAAATCGACTGAAATCAGATGCACCCATTACTAATTAACGATCATTCTAACCTAAAACAACCAAATCCTAATTACCCATATCAAACAATCAAATCTTATATAAATATTAAAGAAAAAAAAATCGAAACAACTATAACTTACTATTCGAAGACGACGACGGCGGCGGCTTTGGGCGACGTTGGGCGGCGTTCGGCGGTGTTTGGCGTCGGCGTCCGACGGCGGCGATGGTTGGAGCGGCGGCGGCGGCGTCGGGCGGGGTGGACGGAGGGGGGTGGACGGAGGGAGGTTTTTTGTGTTTGAATTTTTTTTTTCTTTTTTTTTATTTGGTTTTCAAATAGGTAATTTCAAAGAAAAATTGATGTAATTAGTATTTTGTATGAAAGGGTATTTTTGTACTTTTATTTTTATTTTGGTATTAAAGTAAGAAAAAACTTAAAAATATGTACTCAATTGTGGTTTTCAACTAGGTAGTATTCAACTAAGCAAAAATTAGTATTCAAAATAGTTGCCCCCTATTCGAAAATATATAAGGGTAAATTCCACTTTAACCCCTTGTACTCTACCCAAGAACCACTTTACCTCTTGTACTCTTAATTTCGTCGATTTACCCCCTTGTACTTGTACAATTTTTCAATACAACCCTCTTCGTCAACTTTTTTCAATTTTGACTCTGACGCCATTTGGTCAAGAGTCAAAATATTGAAGTAAATATTGAATTTTTTCGATTTTAACTCTCGAGATTAGAAAAGAGAAAATTTCACATATTCATATATTTTTTTCTTTGCACTGGGTGGAATCGATCAATTTTTGGGTCTTGATTTTTACTAAGTTAGGGGTTCAATTTGGGGATATCTTGGAAGGGGAAGTGGTGGGAGAAGAAGAAATGACAATATTGACGGAGGAGAAACGACGCGTTATAGGCAGTGGCAATTTTGTAATTTACAGAGTTGACCAAATGGCATTAGAGTCAAAATTGACAAAAATGAAGGAAATGACTGTATTGTGAAATTGTACAAGTACAAGGGGGTAAATCGATAAAATTGAGAGTACGAGGGGGTAAAGTGACTCTCTGACAGAGTACGAGGGGGTAAAGTGGAATTTACCCTATATATAACTAACCACCATATTGTTTATAACCTAGTGCAAATCTAGGGGTGAAAGTCGGGATAGATCGTCAAAATTAGCTTTTTCGAAAAATTTCCAAAAAAAATCGGAAGCACAAAATCAAGTCCAATTCAAATTCCAAAATTTTCGGAATCTAAAAATTCATTCCAATTCCAAAAGGCCCGGAAATTTCGAGATTTCGGAAAAAAATCGGAAATCACATAAGCTTTAAAATATCAAAACTTCGCTGAAATTTTCTAAAATGTTCATAATTTTTCAAAAATAAGAATATCCACGTCGATAAAATAAAACTAATAACTACTAAATTCCAGTTCAAATAAATAAATAAAAATAAACACAGCATAACATCCAATAAACTTCTAACAAAAATTTATTATGTCAAAATCCTAAAACAAAACTCATAGGTGTATTTTTCGGAAAATAAGTATTATATAATATATATTATTTATAGGTGTATTTTTCGGAAAAAAAAATCGGAATTTTCAGAATTAATTTCGGAATTAAATCAGATCGGAAATCGAAAATTTCAAATTTATTTTATATAATTCCAATTCCAATCTAAAAAAATCGGAAAAATTCAGAAATCGGAATTTCGGAAGTCGGAATCAAAAAAGTTGTTCAAGAATCGGAACTTTTCGAATCGGAATCGGCGGAAATGGGAAATTTCGTTCCAACTTGCACCCCTATGCAAACCCCCTCCATTTGGATAATCCAAAATTGACATACCCCCACTACACCAAAAAGGCCATTTTCTAACGAATATATCCGTTAGAAATAATTTTCCTAACGGCGAAAAACCGTGAGAAATACTGCGTTAGAAATTGAAGGCTCTAATTTTCTAACACATATAACCGTTAGCAAAATTAAAAAAGTCCGTTAGAAAAATAAATATTCTAACGGTTATATCCGTTAGAAATATTGTTCCAACGGTTCTTCTTGTAACACTAATAATTAAATTTCTAACGGACAATACCGTTAGAAAAATTAAAAGATTATGAAAATAATTATTTTTATGATTTTTTAATTTTCACCTGGTTTAAAATTTATAAATACTAATAATATAAATCATAAATAAAAGAGTTAACTGCAAAAAATCCCCTAAACTTTGGACGTTTTTGCACTTTATCCCCTGAACGGAAAAAAGTTGCACGAGCATACCCGAACTTAATAAATTGTTGCACCGGCAACTAAAACTTCTATTTTTAGCCACATTCTTCCCTGAATTGTACACGTGCAATTCACACGTGAAAATAGAGGGGCAATTTCGCCATCTCACAAGGTTTAAAGAAAAAACCAAAAAAGAAAAAAATCAAAAGAAAAAAAAAATTGGTCATCTTCTTCCTCATTTTCTTGGCAGCCGAACAGAGCAGGAGAATTTAACCACCACCACCTCTGCTCCGCCGCCGCGCCACCACCTCTGGCCTCTGCTCCTCCTCCGCCGCACCACCACCACCACCATCTCGGCCGCGCGTCCCTTCCAGATCCACCAATTTCAGTCCCCCACCCCTTGCAAATCAGCGCCCCTTTGGCTCCCCCAACAACTCTCCTCTCGTCATTCCCGTACACTTCTCCTTCAACCCTTCTAACCCCAACAACCATAACCCCACTTTCTCTCTCTTCTTCAAACCTCAATTCGGATTTTTCTCTATCCGAAAATCCACCTTCTCTCATACGGAATCAAGTGGCCTAGCGGCGAACCCAGAAATGGAGATGTCGGATTTGATTCCATCTCCTTCGGTTTTTTTCCACCGGAGTAGCCACCTGTATCGTGAATGACTTATCACTGGAAAATTATCGTGAGGGAGAAACCTTCCACCATTGAAACCGCCGGCGGTGGTGCATCAATTTCAGCCCCCGACCATTTTTTTTCTTTGAATCAGAGTTTGATTCGCCAAGGATTTGAGTTTATGGAATCAAAGCTTAATCAACAATACAGTCCTCAATTTGGTGCTTTTTTTTTTGGAGAAAGAGAAATTGATTAATTTGGTGTGATGTGCTTTCAAGTTAGTCTTTAATTTCCGTTGGCCGGTGAAGTAGAGGCGGCAGGCGGTGGAGGGCGGCGGCGCAGAGGTGGCGGAGGGAGGTGAAGCAGAGGCGGCAGGCGGTGGCTGAGGGCTGGTGTTGACGGGAAGAAGAAAACCTTTTTTTTTTTTCTTTTTAGGATTTATTTATATTTATTAAAAAGAAAAGGAAGAGAGTGGATGTAAAAGGAAATGACTCATTTACCCCAGCTATATTCACGTGTATGGCACGTGACTTAGATTCCGGTCAATTTTGGCCAAAAATGGACATTTTGGACATTGGTGCTAAGAATAATAGAGTTCAGGTATGCTCGTGCAACTTTTTTCCGTTCAGGGGGTAAAGCGCAAAAACGTCCAAAGTTTAGGGGATTTTTTGCAGTTAACCCTAAATAAAATAATACCCACAGAGAATAAATTCAAATTATTTTATTAGAATAAAAATTTAGTACAAAATATATTTCTCCATCATTTACACATAAAAATCAAACCAAAGTACAAAAAAATATCCATTACTATCAACTATTACAATATTTTTTTCACTGGATTCTATCTTTCATATACATTAACAAAAGTATCTAAAAGATCCATGTACACAAACCTTTTATAATGCCAAGAATGCTCTTGCATGTGTTGGAATTTTCATGATTTCCAATAATTAATATTGAGTAATATTAATTAAATTATGTAAAGATTAATTTCATTTATTTACTTGATCATAATCATGAAGTAAAGTGAATGAAAATTGTCTTGAGTAAATGGTTAAGTTCAAAAGATGTGCGCTCGATGTGATCGAGTAATAGGATTAGTTTGGGTTTATGTGTCTACAAATATTACTTTTGGGGACATTTAATAATTAGTCAAATTAATTGACCCAAATCTAAATAATAAAATATTTGGCCCAAACCAAATATCTAATTAATTGGCCCATGACCAATTAATTTTCCTACGCTTATTTGAACTCGTAAAAAGAAGAGACACATCCTTCTGCTTCTTTTCCAACCATTGCAACCCTCAGTGAATGGATCTCTACAACCTATAAATAAAGGCAGAATCTGGCCAATTCTGTACTGAATTTAATCGGCAATTAAGAGATAGTTCTTCATATTCTTCTTTTCCTTCGTCAAAGTTCCGTTCGTTGTTCAAGTTCGCCGTGGGTCGAATATTCGTGCAAATATTCGACAACCGATCGTTGTACCTTGGGAGACTACCGGGAAGAGACTGTGCACCGTTGACAGCCCGGAAATATTGTCTTAAGGGAATTGCTTTGGCAAGCCTCGATCGTTCTTTGTGGTTTTCACAATTTCTCTTTTCGACAAACAAGTAAGTAATTTTCGTTTACGTAGATTGTTATCTAATTATACCAACAATCTTAAGACAATATAAATTTCTTTGTTTTATAACATCTGCGTAATTTTCTTATGCCGTGAGAATTTTACCTCTGGTTTACAAAAGTTTGCGTAAAACTTCTCTGTGCACAAAACTTGGGACTTCATTATTTTTTATAATCAAAGTCAAACTTGTTTTGTATTATGTTAGAAGTCTCGAAAGAGAGAAGTCTGATTCTAAAATCTCGGATATTGATATATTCATTACCATGGGTCACTATTTTATACTAATATATTGCTTTTTGAATTTTGATTTTATAAAAATAATGCATTCATTTGCTGTTTCGTTTAAAACCTGATACGGGCCAGTTTGACAAATAACATATAAGCATAAGCCCATTAGGATAAGCCCAGTATGATAGGCCCACAACGAAGAACCCACGAAGACTTAGCTCGAAGTTATGAGCGAAGTCGCCGTATGGTGCAAACCTCGGGAACCATATGGGAGTACCTTAACTCGCCAGCCCAATACCAAAACGAGGTAGGGCGAGCCCAGGACAATACAGGCCCAAGATACGTGACTTGAGGGAAAGGAGAAACCCTAAAAAAGGAAAGCCTTGAAGGCCAAGTTTTCTCCATCTATAAATAGAAGGACCATCACACATACACACAGAGGATACACACCATTTTACTATTACATTGCATATTATTGTTCTTCTATTCCGATCACTGACTTGATCGTCGGAGCTCTCCCGCCGGGAACCCCTCCCAGCGTTGCAGGTACCGTCACCGGGGTACGTACGGAAGTTGGCTCAGGGAAGACAAAGCCCCACGGACCAAATCAAAACCATTTAAACAATCATTTGTACCTAATTTTGGATAAACTATTTATTCTTTGTTTTAACATTAGAATAAAGTTTGGGTTTGGTACTGAGAAGATAAATATGGAATTTTGAATTTTCATATATTTTAAATTCTTCTATTTTAAACCGTTGCTTAAATAAATTCGTGTAGATGGCTTCAATCAATGATGCCGCTCCTAAGGTTGTCGGCGCGGCCGAAAAACCTAACAAATTCACGGGTACGGACTTTTCTACTTGGAAGAACAAAATGTTCTTCTACCTTACTACCATGAATTTGGCTAAGTTTCTCAATGAGGAGGCACCTAAGGCAAAGGAAGGAGAAACTCCCGAAAATAACAAGGAAGTCTTCCTAGTCATTGATGCGTGGAGTCACTCTGATTTCCTATGCCGTAACTACATCTTGAATTGCTTGGACGAACCATTGTACAAAGTTTACAGTCCTATAAAAACTGCTAAACTTTTGTGGGATAGTTTGTCCAAGAAATACAAGTCTGAAGATGCGAGATATAGGAAATTCATAGTAGACAAATTCCAATTTTATCGAATGGTCGATAGCAAAACTGTGAGTGAGCAAGTGAATGAACTCCAACTCATGATCTATGATATTCTCGCCGAGGGTCATGAGGTCAGTGAATCCTATCAAGTGGCTTCCATAATTGGAAAGCTTCCACCGAGTTGGACGGAGTTCAAACACTACCTAAGGCACAAGAAATCGGTTGCAAAATGGACGATGGAGGAACTCATAGCAAGGCTCAAGACCGAGGAGGATAATAAAATTACCGACAAGGGTGGTCAATACGTGGCTAAGGCACACGTAGTGGAGAGCTCGAAGCAGAGCAACAAGCGAAAGGGTCTTACATTTAACAAAGGACCAAATAACAAGAAGAAGAGATTCACCGGAGCGTGCTTTGTTTGTGGAAAGAATGGACACCTTGCGAAGGATTGCCGCCACTGCAAAGAAAACAATAAAAATGAAGCAAATGTCACCGTGGATTTAGCTACTTCCGAGAACGACAACATGCACTTTTCAGCAGTTGTAACGGAGGCCTACCTATTGAGCGATACTCGAGGATGGTGGGTAGACACCGGGGCAACTCGTCACATTTGCTATGACAAGAGCATGTTCTCCTCCTATAAAAAGTTGGAACAAGAACAAAAGCTCTTCATGGGAAATGATGCTTATTCGGTGGTTGAAGGACAAGGACAAGTGATCCTAAAATTCACTTCCGGAAAGGAAGTTACCTTGAACGATGTGCTACACGTTCCGGATATTAGGAAGAACTTAATCAGTGGTTCTATCCTAACTAAGAAAGGTTTCAAGTTGGCTTTTGAGTCGGAAAAATTTGTGCTAACCAAAGGAGGGTTCTACGTCGGAAAAGGGTACCTATGTGACGGTCTCTTTAAGGCGAACGTAGCCGTTATCGGCAAGAACTAAGCTACTACATTTATATTAATAATTTTTAGTTTATTTGCATTTTGTGATAAGAGTTGTAAGAACTTATTGTGTTGGAAAATGTCGTGTGTAAAACAAGGTTTTATTATACAAGTTTTTGACTAGTATATTTTTTAAAATTGCCCTATGTTTTACAAGTTTGTATGAAATTTAAAATTATTAAATCATATAAATATTTTATTCTTTCTTTTGAAACAATATTGTTTTCAATCCAATGACTTGGTTGAATTTGGGCATAATCAATATTTATTTATACTTCAAATAAGCACTCATGAGTGGTGCTTGATTTCTTTGTTTTCAAAACTTTTATAAGTGAGTTCTTGATTTAAACGGTGCAATATGATTCTGTCAAATCATATTGTGAGTATTTTCTCAATAAAATTAAAATTCTTAAAATTTTGAGTTTGATAAAAAGGTAGCAAATACGTATTTGTGAAATACAAAATAAGAAGATAACTTCTTAAATCCGATAGAGCGGATAATATGAGTAATTTATTTGTGTGCATGGAAAAATCATTGCACCCTATTCACATCAAATGGGGTAGTCAAATGGAAAATCATGATATAAAGACACGATTAAACTTGAGTTTACCGAACAACTTGTGGGGGAAACTCCTTGTGTATCTAATGATATATTAAATAGAGTTTCACACAAGATGAACATTCCTTATGAGTTATGGAAATATATATAATTGAACTATAAATATCTCAAAATGTGGGGGTATTTGACTACAAGTTACATATGTTTGTATATCCATTGAGGGATATAGTGAGGCAATATAATTGAATATAATCAATTATTAATTGCTCTTATACTTTAATAAGTCTCGACATATTCGTCGTAAACTTATATTGTGAGACATTTACTCTCGAATGAAATAATTGATTTTGTGAAATCCATAGATAACCGAGCGGATCCATTTAATAAGGTTTATCTAGCGAGAGAGTTAAATGTGCGTCGAGGGGAATAAGTTTAAAGCCTAAATAACTAAGTTACCTTATACGGAAACCTAACTTGGCGACTGGAGATCCCACGGACCAAGTTCAATAGGACAACCAGTTCTGTGTAACTAAAATAAATGGAGCACTTAGGAGTTTTAACTCCATCTTATTCCTATGATGCAATAAGTGCAACCTACGACGTTCAAAAAGGTTAAGCTATTGCTTTTAATGACGTCTATATCTTGTAAATTACAAGTGGGGTATAGTAGGATACTCTTTATAGATGCGGTCACCTATGTTAGTGTGAGCTGGGTCGGCTCGTTGAGAATTCTTAAAGGATGGAATTCTCTAAAGCACTCGCAGAACCCGAGAATGTTCAGGGCCAAAACGAACACAACCGAGAATTTGAACAAGTTCGTTTAGTATGGTGTTAAGTTTATTGTCTTGGTTTACACAAACAGCCGATGGTTCAAGATGAAATAATTCACCGATTGGCTAAGTAAATCCGATAAGCTTTAACTAGGGAAGGTTCAAGATGAAATATTTCACCTATCCCGATGCTGTACTATTCACTAAGGAATTTTGACAAATAAATCTTATGCGATAAGATTGGAAGAACAATTTTATTCATGTGGGGGATTGTTGGAATTTTCATGATTTCCAATAATTAATATTGAGTAATATTAATTAAATTATGTAAAGATTAATTTCATTTATTTACTTGATCATAATCATGAAGTAAAGTGAATGAAAATTGTCTTGAGTAAATGGTTAAAGTTCAAAAGATGTGCGCTCGATGTGATCGGGTAATAGGATTAGTTTGGGTTTATGTGTCTACAAATATTACTTTTGGGGACATTTAATAATTAGTCAAATTAATTGACCCAAATCTAAATAATAAAATATTTGGCCCAAACCAAATATCTAATTAATTGGCCCATGACCAATTAATTTTCCTACGCTTATTTGAACTCGTAAAAAGAAGAGACACATCCTTCTGCTTCTTTTCCAACCATTGCAACCCTCTGTGAATGGATCTCTACAACCTATAAATAAAGGCAGAATCTGGCCAATTCTGTACTGAATTTAATCGGCAATTAAGAGATAGTTCTTCATATTCTTCTTTTCCTTCGTCAAAGTTCCGTTCGTTGTTCAAGTTCGCCGTGGGTCGAATATTCGTGCAAATATTCGACAACCGATCGTTGTACCTTGGGAGACTACCGGGAAGAGACTGTGCACCGTTGACAGCCCGGAAATATTGTCTTAAGGGAATTGCTTTGGCAAGCCTCGATCGTTCTTTGTGGTTTTCACAATTTCTCTTTTCGACAAACAAGTAAGTAATTTTCGTTTACGTAGATTGTTATCTAATTATACCAACAGCATGCATGAGTAATAAGTTCATTATCATCATCTTCAGATAGTGTCTTCATATAAATATTCATCACATCTGCCAACATAAAGGTACGTAGTATCCATCAGTCTTTAGTAGAATTGAAATATAAAACACATATCCAAAAGATTAATTAAGGTGGTAACTATGACTCACATCAACGATTTTGAAAGATCTGCTTGTATAGTTCTCTTGTCTGAAACTCAGAGTTATTTCGTTCCACATCGGAAAAAATTATGTTGTCTTCTTGTCCTTATTAGATCGAATCTACAAAGGCCAGTGAATTTCAATTACCAGGTATATAATTTAAAATAAGAGATAATTGTGAAAACTATAATGATCGAAACCTCTGCAAATATTCGGGGCAAAAGAAACATAAACAACCAAACCGGAGAGCTTATATATTTGGAGACAAGTAAATTAAAAATGTATTATGAATAAAGAAGGCGACCCCTATTGCTAAAGAAAGTCTTAATGGTTTGTGCGAATCCAGAAGGAGTTTTTCCAACTATATGCATATGTAATTGGCAACACAATCACCTGTAGATACAGAAACAAACTTTAGTATGTATCCAACTTTACATGCACTTACATGCTCTTTCTTGCTTTCCAGCTCATGACAATATCGAGAACTGCTGCATAACAATTTTGAACATTTAAAATACATAAAATATTTGAGAATCAAACAGAATGTAAGAAGATTAACATATTTTATCTTATTACCTTGTACGAATTTTAGTGCGGCTACTATGATGAAAATGCTTGATAGTTCATGGAATACATTTCCATCAATTGTACCTCTTAAATCACCAGATCAATTCCAAGCAACTGCCTTCAGAATAAAATAAATTGAAACCGAGATGATATGCTACGTTAGAGAATAAGATAATTAAAATATAAGGACGAATAACAATTGATGTTTACCTAAAGGTACAATATAAAAAAGCTCCGCATTCTGTCATTTCTTATAAATATATGCCAATATGAACGTGTCTCAACAAAATTGAATTTTCCAATCCATCGATCTCCTGTAACAGATTCACTAAAAACATTGTATAATTATAAATTTATTGTTTGTAGCGGATATAGACCGTTGGAAATTTATTGTATGGTTATAAATTTATTGTTTGTAACGGATAGCCCACTCTGAAGTATCCAGAATACCCTTTTCAATCAGTTTTAAACCCTAGCCAACTCATATCGGTCTCTATCTTCAAATTCTCAGATCCAAATCCTGCCCCCAAGGTCTCTAACCGGCGGTATTGCTTCCCGGAGTCATAACTCTCTCCCCGGTGGTCGGAATTCGATGGTTCAACTATTGGATTCCTCTCATCGAGCTCTTTCTTTGGTGGTTATTTCATTCAGTTTAGAGTGTTGGATATGTTTCTGCAAATTTTTTTTAGTCGGCGTATTTCGACGACGGTGGTTTTACCCGAGGTGTAACTTATTTTTCGTTAATCGGAATTTGACGGACTACCCACCGTTGGATTCGTATCGTCGGGATCTATATTTTGATGTCAATTTCATTCATTTTTCTATTTTCAGATTTATTTCTATATTTTTTTGCATTTGTGAGCGCGGAATCTTGGGTGGTTAGCAGAGACTAGGGTTTTGGTAGGAAGCGCTTGGTAGGAAGCGGTTTGATCTAGAATTCGCAGCTACAGCCACTCTCTCTCTCTCTCTCTCTCTCTCTCTCTCTCTCTCTCTCTCTCTCTCTCTCTCTCTCTCTCTCTCTCTCTCTCTCTCTCTCTCTCTCTCTCTCTCTCTCTCTCTCTCTCTGTATCTCTCAATCTCTTAGTGTTTGTTGTTTTTTGAGTGTTTTGATGTTTCTTTAATTTTTGTTGATTTGCAGTAAAATATTTTTTTTGTTTGATTTTGCAATTGCAGCTTAATGAAGGCCATTGATCCTTTCCTTGAAGGTGTCAAAATTTTTGGTTGAAGTTACATCTGCTTTGTTCAACAAACTGTATACATTACTTGTTACATATAGTAACAAGTAGTTACATATGCATATATTTGTGTATTTTCGATTTGTATTTTATTTGTTCTGAGGTGATTTATAATATAAATATTGAAATTTGTAAATTTTTGTTGTTGGGATTTATAAATTTCTTTTGTATAAGCCAATATTCGTGTGTGTGTATATAATTGATCGACTAAAAATATGAGGTAAAAAAAACATAACTATGAATTACTATAGTTTACTACAATTACATGCAGTTATATGTAGTTATTTTCAGTACAGTAAACGTATTGATTTGAAAGTAAAAAATTAAAAAAAAATACTGTTTTTTTTAAATTAAATAAAATAAAAAAAACGTAAATATAAATTTAAAAAACAAGTTTATTAAAAATAAATAATAATAAATAAATAAATCAGCGAAAATGATAAATGCAGGACCAGAAATGTTGAATGTAGTTTGGCCAAAAATTACATATAAGGGTAGCATAGTACTTTCCCTTCTCCAGGGGGATATGTCAAAGGATGATTTAGGCTTGGGTTTATCCCTAGTTTATTTGGTAGCTAGGGTTATGTAAAATAACCCCTAATATTGTGGGAAACTCGTAGCAAATTTAATTAGAACTAAATGACAACCACAAATTAATTTTTTTCTTAAATACATCCCTATTTTAAAATATAATATGTCTCATATACCTAATTTGTTTTAATCACTAACTTGCCCTTATACTCTAAATATAAACTCTATTTACGACTCTCCAACCTAGATATGTTTCTTTTCTTTTATTCTTTCCCTTTCTTTCTCTCGTTCTCTACATGTCTGTTGTTCTTTCTCTCTCCCTCTCGATCTTCCTTGCTCCGAGTTATATGGTGGGTGGCTATGACGTCTAAGGCGACGGTGGGGGTAGTCATGGAGGCGGCGGGTAACGTGGGGTTGTTATGGAGGCGGTCATGGTGAATGGCCAGCTATAGAGGCAGTGTATATGGTGGGGGTTGTGATGGCGGCGGCCATGGAGATCGTGGGTATGGTGGAGATAGTTATGGAGGCGGTTAGGTGTTGTGGTGGTCGCAGTTTTGAAGAGGGTTGGTTATGGAGATAGAGAAAGGTCGGGAGGCGATGAATATGGAGGAGGTGGCGGCTATGGTGACGGTTTTGCAATCTAGGTTTTTATTTTGGCGGTGTTGGGGTTTTTTAATAAAAATAATATTTTACTAAATACTTTCTTTGACCAATTTATGAGGTAATTTTGACCAACATTTTGAACCATACAAAAACTGTATTTGCCTCATACAGGCCCGTTCCTCGGATTTCGGGGGCCCAAGGCGAACTTTGTAGACATTGTTGAAATGGGGCCCCCTAGTTGGGGCAACGATTTTTTTTTTCCGGAAATAATATGACGGGGTAGGTTAAACTTTTAGGGGTTCGGGGGCATCGCCCCCGATTTTTTCTAGAGGTAATCGTGAAAAAAATGCCAAATTTTAGTAAAAATATCTTTAGAGTTTTAAACATAATATTTTTTTATTAAACATAAAATGAACCTAATAAATTTATAAAAGAGTGTGAACTAATTAAACAAAACAATAATGGGGGCAAAAAAATTATATTTATAAAATATTATTGAAAAATACTTTTTTTTAATTTTGGTATACCCCTCACCCATAGTATATTTGATTCGCAGTAAAATTTGGAATTTAATTAAAACTATTAACTAACATTTACATTAAAATAAGTCTATACTATATTTTATGGGACAATATATTAAGATGAAGCAAAATTATAAAAAATTAAAACATCTAAGAAACAAATAAATTAGGCAAAATTAATATATGTTAGTTAGCATTTCAAATAATATACTTATGACTACACGTACTACTCTAAAGAAAAAAAAAAAAAGTAACATAAACAAAAAGAAAGATTAATCTTTTACTATGAAAATTTTGATTTGAATTCTTAATTTATATTACATAATATTTAAAGAAAAATAAGTGTAAATTATTTATATGGTTATAATTTCTTTTAATAAGGGCCCTTAAATATATATTATCAACAAAGACTAATATATAAGCACTATTTTTTTAGAATTGGGGGCCCCTAAAATTCGTAAAAAATCGGGGGCCCTAGGCGACCGCCTTGGTCGTCTTCCCTCAGAACCGGGCCTGGCCTCATAAAATCTCCATAAATTTCCCTAATTCTATATTAAATATATAGCTTTTATGATGACCTTTTATTTTACACTATAAAAGGGTGGCTCTGTGGCTTGAAAAAATGCATGAGAGAACATAAAGAGTGAAAGAAAAATGTCTTTCAAAAAGGTCATATATTATATACGTATATTGAGCTCTTGTTGTGGGTCGGGTGTAAGCTTCTGCTTCACTTTAAACGTGCAATTTCGGTGAAGTTACAGCGGAGAGATAGGTTGGGTTGTTGTATCCCACATGCGACACGATCGGAACCTTTTTACACCTCATTAGAGAAGGGGTCGTGAAATTCGTCTTAAGAGAGCGACCTAGTCTGCGTCTCACCTTATCTATCTCCACTATTATCGTGGTTTATACTGCACCAGCTTGTTACTTGTAAAATTAGAAAACAAATAGAGTACGAGCTTCAATCCGTCAATTTCGTGATCAATCGTCGAAGTGTAGCCAAAATTCCAACAATTTAAGACGAATTTTGATCCCATGAAGATGAGCTTTGACGATGATCCAAAAGAGCAACCATTGATGATGAAAAGGGAGATAATTCATTTTTTATTTATTATCTTGTGTTGACTAAACAAACTTAATGATCTTGTTTTTTGTTTAAGGTGAATTTGTGTGCAATTCACAAGTTTATATTTGAGGTCAGTTTTGGACCAGATAATATCCGAATATGAGAATGTGTAAAACACAAAAGCTTTAGGCATTTCTGTTGGCTATCCGAAACATCTTGAATTGCTAAAATCGGACATCGAACGAGCGAGATATGCTTCAAATACTGAGCACTGCTAGAGCTGTCAAATTGTGCGCGATTTTTTGCGAATCCACAAAATATTGGGGTATCGAAAAAAATTGATAGTTGAGAATTATCAAATCTGGTACGTTCTTCATTTATTCATGCTAATTATGATAATATTGCATAATATTTGTGTTGATGATTTGTGTGAAATTGAGATGTCAAAGTTAAGCTAAACTAAATGGCATCAAACATGAAAACAATTTTGTGCTTAAATGATGGTTCTATCCATGGTTATCGGATCGTAAAAATATCTCGTATCGTTTTGCTCCACATCTCGTACCGTATCGTTACCGTATCGTATCGTAAGATATTTAACCAACTATTAAAATAGTAAAAAATATATATCTACATTAAAAAAATATTATAAACACATAAAATTTATTACTTTTAAATTTTAAGTTATATTACTCATTTCAAAATAGATATAAATTCAAGTTTCAACATCTTATTATAAAATAGGACAAAAAATATAATTGCTCATTAAATAACATCATCTAAGGTGGTGTTTGTCTAGGCGTATAAGATGTTAAAGAGCTTATAAGCTCTTCCAATATGTTAGATAATTTTCTTAAAAATATATTTAAAATTCAAAATATAAGTTGTTGAAGCTTTTTAAAAAGTACATTTACCCCGCCTACTTAGTTAAGATCTTATAATGAGTAAAAATATCTTGTAAGATTATTATCTAAATACTTGAAAAAATTAATTTTAAAAATAAAACGTAACAACTTATCAATACTTAAAACAACTTATCAGATGTAAGAGTATGTAAGAGTTTATCAGCTGTTTAAAATAAACCCTAGCGAAATGGGCCTTAAGTTCAAATTCGAATACCTAATTTGTAAAAATATTCGATCACTCGTAAATTTAAAGATCAATGTCACTTAAATCGTCATCATCCACCAATTTTAAAGGATTGCCTTCATCATTATCAATCGCAAAATTCAGTAAAAAAAACCTTGAATCGGTCTTGAATCGCAAAATTAAATCGCAAGAATCTATAGAAATTGAATTAGGGTTATGATATTCTAAGGATTGGTGAAGAGATTGAAGAGAAAAGTGTGAATTAAGGTTGGGATATTGAAGAAATT